CGTTTTGCAGTTTTTCGTTTCGTCATTTTCCATTCTGGTTAGTCGCCGTTCTGCAGTTCACCATCTAGCTTTCTGTTGTTTTGGATAATCGGCTTTTTTGTAGGTCGCCGATGTTGAAGTCGTCACATAGCAGCCAACACAAAGGCAAACTGTGAGTCGACTTCTTGCCCTAACACCGTAAGTCCCAGCTTGGAGACATTAGGGAGTATGTTAGGTATATAGCCCAAAACTTTTCGAAGGGGTAGCCTATACGATCATGGAGTACCACAGCATTAAACCCAAACGAAGTGTCGTACTGCAGTACACAAGGAGGTAACTCACACTAGCAAGTTGACGTCCGAAGATCAATGTTTATAACATGACTGTCTGTAGGAAACCAAACCCTGGCAGAGTCAACAGGCACTTCGCTCAAACAGCATGCCCGCAATTTTCCACCGTCAAGCTTCACGACAGCATGTTCCATTCAGCTGGCATGATAATTCGCCCCCAACGATCACCCCGGCCCGTCGGTCACTCCTGCAGCGCCAACAACACGATCGAACTCAACTCCGGCGCAAAACCGTGCCCGGCGGGGCTCCGACTCCCGGCCCCTTTCGCGGCGCGACATGGCACGGTACCCGGCGACCTCGTGTCAAAGCGTCACGCCCCGGTCATAACTCCCGGAACAGCGCGGCCCCACACTCGGCCGGCTCGCGGACCGCCGCCGGCCGCCGCCGGAACGCGGCTCGCTCACGCTAACTGCGCGTCAGTTCGTTAGGGAAATGCGCTGGCGGTTAATTACGGTTCGGCCGCGGGCAGCGCGAACTTGAGCACGGCTGACGGACGTCACCCAAGGCCGCGACGGGGTAAACAGTGTGGGTGCTGTGGACAAGGGTTCGCTCCCGACCGAGCTCGTTAATGTTGGTCTTGTGGTCTTAACGGCGGAGATGGCGGTGCGTGATACGGTCCAGGCGCACGTCAAGTATATTCATAAAGATGTGCGAATATGTTGTATATTATATATATAGATATAATATATATATATATATATATATATATATATATATATATATATATATATATATAATATATATATATATATATATATATAGTGTGTGTGTGCAATATACATAGGCCTTCCATATATATATAGATATATATAATATATATATATAGATATAATATATAATATATATACATATATATATATATATATATATATATATATGTGTGTGTGTGCATATATACATAGGCCTTCCATATATATATATATATATATATATATATATATATATATATATATATACGCACACTTCAGGATGTGATTGGCTCCTACCAGCCTTTTTCCCAGTTAACGAGATGCGCGTGCCGCATTACGTGCGTGCCGTTCAGTGCCCAACATGGTGGCATTGATTGGGTGGCGCTGTGCTAGCTGACGTCACTCGTTGGCACGACAAAGCAAAATTAGCTACGGTATGTCTCTATTGGGTAATAACCAGACCAACAGATTATGATTGACCACGAAGTAGCATTGTTCTCCACACTTGGGTCCCATACGTGCTGGATGTTATAAACACTGGATGTTACGAAAGCTAGATGTTACGATTTTGGATGCTGCGAGCTTAGATGCCGTGATTTCTCCACCTCCAGGGACATTGGGCGATTCGACTTTTGAATGCCAGAGTCTACCATTTGGCCGTTTTGATCATTAGCCATTGACCATTGCCATTGGACATTGACCATTAGACGTTATGAACTCCGGATGCTCTGATACCCATACGCCACGATATGCACATCAAATACAGAACTGCATACCAAATTACGATACAAAACATTGCACTATTTCATCTCAAATTCGCGTGTAAGGAATACAAATTACGGATCAATTCTGCCGCACGCGACACTGGAATATTTACATGTTCTGGTTTGGAACGTTACAGACAAAATTTCGGAGCAGTTGGCAGAGCCTAGTCAACTTTCTTGTGCCAAGCGGAAATGTTGTGGAAGCTATTGCGTGTCCGGAACACTTAACATATACCGAGGCCTTACAACTTTGTGCTAGTTGCTTCTCATGCACGAGTGAGGCAGTCTGCTAAAATGCGCTAAAATGTAAGTTTCCTGCTGTATTGTGAGAGCTTGCTTTCGCATTGACCAACATGAATAAGTAATATGTCAACAAAATTGTCATGTTCGTGAAACGCAAAGGAATCGAGCTCAAATGACTGTCAGGCGTAAAGTTACCCCACTGTCACATTTTGAGAGCGGGCGTGACGTGTTTCCAAGGTTCAAACTATTACTTGTCCAAATAACAGTAATGTTGAGCCATTTCCGAACGCATGTGGTCCCGATTGCACGTCTTCAGATTTGCATTCCAAGATCACCTACGATATTGCTGTCGGCGCCTTTCTGACTTCACGTGGCATGCCGCGCGCAGGCGATCTACGGCTGATCTGGAGCATTCCACGACCGCCGCGCCAGCCATCGAACATTTCCCCAACTTAAAGCATTCATTCAAACCCAATCTGCTGCATACGTAACGCAGCCGGACGTCAGCTCAAAACGCTCCATGTTCACGCTACTCCCCGCCGCCTCCGCCACTGACGCGTGACATATCACCAGTCGGCCGCCCCGAGGCGAACACGACCGCCGGGCTGTTGGCCAGTCTTCCCTGGCATCCGTCGCACCACGGCCATTACGTCGCGGAATGCCCTGAGCGTCGCTGATCACTTGGCGCTGCGGATCGAACGGCGGGCGGTGAGGCGGGGGTTCGCTGAGCGAGCGGCAGGCCGGCTCCTCAGGTGAGCTCCAGTCCCCCAGGTCAGCTCTAGCTCCTTCTCAAGGTCATCAGGTCACCTCAAGGTCCTTAGATCAGCCCCAGCTCTTCAGATCAGCTCGCTCTGAGCCCCCAGGTCAGCTTTAGCTCCTCCTCGGGGTCCTCAGGTCACTCCCAGCTCCTTAGTTCAGCTCCAGCTTCTCAGGTCAGCTCCAGCTCCCCAGGTCAGCTCCTTGCCGGGGCTAGAGACTCGCGACGGCCTGAATTATGATCGCGTCTTAAAGAAGGCCGCTGCTTGTGAGGAAGCATCGGACCTGGAGGTGTTGTTAAGGTTTTTACGTAAATGATCTATGATCTAAATGTTACAAGCGGCAATGGTAGCATGTACTTTGACGACGGTTTTTGTGGCGCTAGATGAGTTGGACGGCAATTACCTTCGCTGTCATTTTACTTAATACTATTTAATTAAGATGATGTTTGGATTGAATGTCATCGTCGTCATTAGAGCTTTAAGAAGAACTCAGCTGCTGAGGCCATATGGCGTCGCCTGCCTCTCAAATTGGCAGGAAGGGCGGGCGCCGCGGGGAATTCCCAGATGCGCATCGGCAAACGCAGACGAGTTAACCACTACCTTATTGGCACCTTTCTTTCTGAGTGTATGTTACTGTCATTATTTATTTGATGATAAATAGCTGATTGTGAAGAGCAAAAATGTATGACCTTACTTGAGATTGTATGGGCTCAGCGTGCCATCTAATCGTAAATGTTGACAACGTGGGGGCTGGTTTCGTCACAGGGCAACCTGAAGCGCTACAACAACATTTATAGATGTGGTATCCTCGCATGTTTCCAGCAGTTGTTGGTCAGAGATTTCGAAGTTTTTTTGGCTGACTTCGGTCCAAATGCAACAAATAGACGTCATCATCATACCTGCAGTGCTTCTCATCATGCAGCCAAAGAGAAGAGCTGGTTTAAGCCAAAATGCGGCGGCATCTATTCTTAGCACTAATATAAAGTTATGTGGGAGATTCCATTATTCTTAATGGTCTCAAACCTTGATGACTTCGTGCCTGCGATGCTTGATGAATGCGTAATAATTGTATGAATGTAGGTTGTGCGCAATGAATGTATGAATGTGAGTTATGTATGATCTACATCTGTACAGAAGATACCACGTTACCCATGCCAAGGTCCATGTACTGTAGGACGTTCTTTATCACTTCTTTGAGCTATCATTAAGATTTGACGCGGTTAGTGTCACATATTGATCTTTGATCATTCTAAGGTCGTCCATCTTATCTGTCAGCCTTTTTAGTGCACGTCTAAGCGTTTGCACGCTTCATCCGGTGCGCAAGAGGTACAAATTGAATTCGTCTAGTTTTGGTAGTTTAATTCAGCTGACCTAGGAGCCGGGAAATGGCGCAAAAGGTTGAAAACGGTCGGAAGTTGTCAAATCCATCTTGCTGGTCCGTGCACGTGAGCACCTGACACGTGCGATATCATACTTTGTGCAACGCGATGGTCCATTCCATTCCCTGGCGATGACGATTGGGTTGGCTAGATTGAATATTTACTGGTTGATGGCTGCCAGTTTTCCCAGCCAGGTATTTGGGCGACGATTCCATCGCATTAGCATCCGTTTCACACGCAATTTTTTACGTTGCTGTTGCTACGCGTCTGCGGTCTAAAGCGCACCTTCCCATCGACAACAAAAGGGAGCGGGGTGGGGATTGACAGTTTTGAAGGCTGAACTTGAGCATATCTTGCAGTTTGTAACAAATAATCTTATCAAAAACAGGATGACGAGTGAAGGATGTGAGCATTACAGCATTACGTTGGATATGAGCATTGGAGCCAATAATATCCAACGAAAATCCAACGAAATTCCAACCAAAATCCAACGAAATTCCAACGAAAAAAAACAGTGCATATCCAAAGAAAATGAATCAGCTTGAAGCCACCATGAATCTGCGTGACTTCATCCCCGACAACATCACCTCAAACGTAAGCTTTCACCTCTCGACTCTCCCAGGTATGCTGGTTACAGGGTACCTGGTATATGCTGGATCCCAGGGTACCTGATCTATGCCGGATCCTTACGTATATGTTGGATCTCTGGTACCCACCGACGCTGGAGACAGCTGAGCGGCTGACGACCACAGAGTGAGCTATGACCCGGGCCTCTGACGAACGGGCGCAGACGGAACCCACGGCAACCCCTCCGCAGTAACCACGCCCTGTAACCCACCTCCTGACACGATGCGCAGCCGTGCCTCGCCGTGAATCGGCTCCGACTTGTTGCCGTCGCAAAAGTGACACGGCGGGTCCTGGTTCGGGTAGATGAGATCGGACACGTGCTCCACGGACAGGTGCACGCTGGCCGCCAGGTCCACCGGACTGCCGCGCGCCGCGCGCCCGAGCGGCCGGCGGCCGGCGGGACCGCCGCCTCCACGGCCGGCCCCGCAGCACACGCACGTCGCCTGGGCGGCCGTCGTCCTGCGCGCGGGCACCACCTGCCCGCCGCACCGCCCGAGGCGCACTGCCCACCACGGCCGAGGTAAAGCCGGCCGTGGCCGCAATCAGGGGCGCTCCCGTCGCCGGAGGATGAGTCGGCCGATAGATGGCGGTGGCGTCGGTCTGATTTGCGGTAGGTGGCGCGAACAGATGCGTCTGGTTATCGTTTCCCTGCTCCAGTACTCAAGACAGCAAAGGGAATTAGAGTGCTTCGAGCGTTAACTTCTCTCAATCGTTGATAACCAAGTCAACTCATATACCCACGTGCTCTTATCTCCCTTACACCGAAGCCCAGACATGGGACGACCAGGACTCACTGAACTAAGCAGGGACTTGAAAAAAAAACAGAAAGTTCTTAGATCCAAGCGTATTCCACAGGTAACAACCACAGCTGCGTGCGTGACCACCCTTTTTTTCTCGATCCCCACTGTATTCGGGCTCCCTGCAATACTTTACCTCACCGGGAGCGTGCTGCGGCCGCCAGCCATGAGTCCTGCGGCCGCCAGCCATGAGCAGGCCTTGCAACCCGGCTGAAGTCCCGCCGGAAAGCTCACACAAGCCAGGCCCGCCAGGTTTCAGGCTGTGCCGGATAAGTCACGGTGTCGAGGGAAGCTCAAGACGGCCTCAGTTTTACCCCATTTCTGCTTGTATGAGGAGTGGCAGAACCCGAGTAAGACAAGAAATGTTTGGTTTGGTCTCGTCGTGAGTTATTCCGTATATTGAGCTGTATGCGAAAACATCACCAGTTTGGTAATTTTAAGGACAAATAAAACATATTTGGATCAGACTGCTCAATTTCAATAGGTCTCAGAACATCTGAACTAGCAAAACTTTCGCGTTCTGTCTTCCGTCGTAGTGCTAAGGCAAATGTATTGAAATAATGAAAATACCACTTTTCTCGGTCAGTATCCGGGCTGTGTCAGGATCATAGCCTCAAGAGATTACTGTCACGTTCAGTTAATCTCATATCAAGACGAAAGAGTCCACATGAATCAGTGGTATATGGTACAGCTTTCCATATCTTTAAGCCGTTTTTCGACAGATATCATCACCGCAAGCCTAGCCAACTCTAATTGAATTTTGAACTGTGCAGACCTGTGACTGGCAGACCTGTGCATAGCAGACTCTCTTCTTCCCTCTCTCAGTGATATATGTAATTATCACGTTTGTATTCGCACTTTCTATGTGTCAACAAGTAGCCCTATTTGGCGTGAGGCGGATAAGATCCCAAAGATGAGCGATGCCTACATCTAGTTATATCCTAATTTGTCTTCCATAGAGCATGTTTCACAAAACGTCAATAGGTTGTATCAATTTGAGGTCATCGCCCTTATTTCTTGGTTTTGTGACCACCGCCCCTGTTTACCCAGCGACTTGCCTTCGAGACCGGCTTTCTAATGAGACACTGGCCGCCTCCGGTCCATTACTGGCGTCCCTGTCGGCTGGTTAACACTAAGCGAACGGAATAACTAGCAAGCGGTGGGTTCGCCTGCGCCAGGCATTCAGTTGCAAGTGTTCATCGGCTCTGGCTGCCGGGGTCCGACGCTAGCCCAACGGGATAAACACCGACGGGTCCGTAGTTCACTCTCAGATGCGCGTTAGGCTTAACAGGGGTAGCTGCACGTGGCGACGCTTAACAGGGATATTGTTTCGCAAAATGAGTTAGCGGTGTGTGTGGAGGAGGGCTGAGCAGCAAAAGGGGACACCACGTACCTACAAAAATATGCCAAAGCGTGTTTTCCCCGGATTTCTCCCACTTTGTCCTTAAAATGTCGGGGACGCTGAAGCCCATATGGGGCTGGAGTAGCCCCACCACCACCCGTCCCATCCCGCCTACCTTCACACTGAATTGGAATATGCGCAACATATTCCACGCAACATTTATAGCTCCTATTATGTTTTATGCACATGCGGTGGGGGTGAGAATGGGGAGGGGTGAGTTTCCTCAGCGCCAGTTACCCGCTGTTCTCACCGGGGTTGACTGGGCGCTGTAGTGTAGCAGGCCATGCTGGCCGATGCGGCCTATACCTGCTACAAGCGCGGTTGGTCCGTGGTGTCGAGGCCTCAAATAAAAAACATTAGATGAAAACCACAGGGACCAGTGAAGTCACGCTTGCTCGATCTATGTTTGTTCGGGTGAAGTGTTCGTTGAGACTGTTTGTTTCTAGGTCTGTCACGTGCAATAATTTCCACAGATTCTTAGCTCAGTACGTGCATATGAACACTATAATACTGTTCTGCATGGTAGCGAACATGTATTTCTTGCAACGGAAAAATAAGGCGAAAAGATTTGCTACCTAGAAGTTATACTGCATTGCATCGAAACCAATAGGTCTTAACATTCTCAGCACATTCATAAATTGTACAACCCTCTCAAGCCTGGCAGATGGAAGCAGAGATCGCTGGGACCGTTTCAAGCCCCTTAGTGCGCGTATGGAAGCAATCATTGCAGATGAGATGGGCGGCAGAGCTTGCTGATGGACATCCACGATGAGAGCGGGCCATTGGCATGAGCTCCGGTTGATGAATTAATAAACGCTGCGAGAAAAATGCCTCTAAAGTAGCTGGTCGTCGGTTTATGAGTTGCCAAAGGCAGTCATAGAATATGGAGTACACCGAAGTCGCTCTGTGTGGCCCTTGGACTGAACCCTGCAGGTCTAGTTTAAAAGCGTGTATCACGTTTTTTTATTAGAACTTATCACGTATATCGCTTTCACAACAAAGGTAGCAAATGATTTGACAAGCGATGCTTCGTTATTTAGCGCTATGGACGTTGGTGCACACAATCGATTTTGTCCCCGATAAGCTGTAGGGTCTAAGTAGACAACGCAACAGACACGTTGTATTTTTGTGGTCGTAAGACACAAAGCACAAGGTTGTCAAGTGGGGACTGGGTTTCGTGGGTCTCCCAGCACTCGTGAAGAACGCTTGCCATGACCCCATGGGGACGCATGATGCAAGCTAACCTAAACGGTTTTGACTCTTCCACACCTGCACACGCTCCTACAGCCCTGCGACAAATCATGATGTCAAGTAAATATGAGCTGAAAATTATCCATTCCTGAACCAAGTGCCTACGACATGTATTGGGTGACAAACCAACGTGTTTAAACTCAACAACCGAACAACACGTTACAAGAAGTTAGTGGTCTGGCCATCGCTAGTGTCGTGCCACGCTAGTTGGATTGGCCGTCTGCAGGCGGCGCCACCGTCCATCCATCTCACCGGCCGCTGCTGAGTGAACTTTCAGGTCCGAAGTCAACAACATAATGATGACGCACTACCCTGTCTGTAAGCAGAGGTGCAGGTGGCCTGATCAGTTTGCATTATTTATGGTCAATGTTTGTTTCCAACAGCATAAGACACCTGTGGCGTAATTAGCCGGAGGCACAAGCAAACATGGAGCATCGCTTTATGGCATCCCACCTGATACTCTCCTGAAGCCAGTAGAGCGTATGGGCAAAGGGTCTTGGTCGCACTCGACCCGTGGTCTTGACAACCAAAGAGCTACCAGCACCGTACCTTGCCCATAAAACAGCGCCTTCCATATCACCGCGTGCCTCAAACAACCAGCGGTGTCATGCTGAGTCAAAAGCCTGGCAAGACATCGGATTTCCGAGGCGCTTATTGCCACCCAAAATCCTAGGCGCCATGTCACACACCGCGAAATTCGGGAACTCGCCCCCGTCCGCGTCGCCGGCTGCGACACGGACCGCGGCGAGATTCAACCTCCGCGGCTGGGCGCTCGAGCGCGCAAAAGGCGCGACGCCGGATCGTTACAGCGCGCGCGCTTACAGGTGTCCCACCAACGCCGCGTCGAACACGGGAAAGCTTTGTCGCCTGCCGTCGGCGACGCCGCGATTTCCGGCAAGTGCGCTTTCCCGGGATTTCTCGGACGAGTCACCGGGTCTGGGAGCCCCGCGCCGCCTCCAATAACCAGCCCCACGATCGCCGACTGCGCTAACGCGGCGGAAGGCAGTCCCGGTTGCCCGGCTGGTAAATGTCGCCGGCTCTGGAAATACGCCTGCAGCGACGGCTTCGTGGCCGGGCGGCGCCCTGAGGCCGACCGGACCGGAAGGCCGGCGGCGGCCGACTTCAGACGGCGGTGAGGGCTTCCCGCCAGAACACGGTGGCGTCGCCGCGCGTTCCATCCTCCCTGCTTGATCAGAATTGCGCGCCTTTGATATCCCTGGCGCAAGGTGAAACAGCTGCGGCGCTGTGGCGCTAGATTGCGTTCGTTTGGCCTTGCCTGCGGGCCATGTTGTTTCTCCTTGCAATATTCGAGCCAAAACACTTAGGCGTTTTAAACCGCGTTTAGGAAACATGCCCGACATTAGGGTGTAAAGAAGGATAAGACGCTTGTCAAGACCTGTCCGCAGCCGAGTGGATGCTCCACCGTCGGTAGAATCCGGCAGTTTTCCGTTTCGCTCCTTGGGCCAAGCAGGAATCGAAGGAGGCAAAGTGAAGCAAACTTGTGAATCGCGTCTGGGGCTTTCGAAGCAGGCCTCTAAGCTGTCTGAGTCGAGTTTAATAAACTAACACAGTCTTTGTAGCATAACTTTTTTCAAAGTCCAGTAACATTAGAGGCAGACAGACTGCGATTCTAGCAGCTTCATCTTGCTTAAATTAAACAGACGGCATTTTCTGCATCACTTCTGACCCCCACTCCATCTCCCCTTCCTCCTCTCAAGTGATAATTTTCAGGGGCGGCACACGTTTGTCATCTGCCCGTTTCCGTGAAGCTCACCGCACCTCGACACGGAGCACCGCTCGCGTGGTGGATGCAATGGCTGCTGTTCAAGTTTGTTGTTATTTAGCATTAACCACTTGCGAAAATTCGCGACATTTTCCAAAACTGGAGGAGAAGTAAAAAAGTGGTGAGAGTTGCATAACCGTAGTAGTGGTTTTCAAAGTTCCTACATTACAACTTCCACTGTTTTATGCTGTTAACCGTTACTTTGTTTACCACAAGTTTTACACCGTTAGCCGGTATAAAGAGAGCAGTGAACAAGGAGTGGCATAAAGATCAGCAGTCTTAGAAGCCTGCCGCTGCCCACAAATTTTGAAGTATTACTTGCACCGCTCGACGTCCAGCAATCCAGCCACTCACGTCAGGCAGCTACACTGAGGCCGACCGCGGCCTTCACAAGTGGCGAGCTTACGTTGAGCATCGATCGCCAGCGCTATTTGCTGAAGGTGTTAGGAGTTGTTTCGCAAGTCGACTAAATGAAAACGCTTACCATAGGTCAGCGGAACAAGCTGACCTTCCATGCTTCTATTGCATTATGAAGACAGAGTATGGCAGCTGGTACGCAGGATTTCGTGGGGTGGGGCGAAACCAAAAATTGCCGGTAGCAAGCCTTTTTAGCTTGCTGTGGTCGCGTGATGCAAACCGTACGACATCCCTTGCTGCAATCTACTTATTTACACGCGTACAATATGCTTCTTAACGTGTTCAAGTTCATTTATATACGTATTAATGCATGTA